TGTAAAATTTGATATAATTTTTCAAAATATACATAATTTAAAGTTTAAATGTTAGATATTTACATAGACTTTCGTTCACATTGATAAAATACGAATCATTACAGATTGTGGTTTCAAAAAAATGCCTAATAGCTTTGTAAAATTAAAGATATTTTTATTTACACATTTATTAACAAAACATAACAATTTTCAATAGTTATCAATTGTATGTCTATATCAAACAAACATCTTGTCTGATTAATCTAAAAAAAGTAATTGAATAAAAGAAAAGGAAAAAATACTCCAAATATATTAACTGGAAATCAATTTATTTAAACATAATAAAAAAACAAAATATATCAAGAAAAGTATATATTTGCAAAAAAAAGTTAACTAATTTTGCATTGTCAATTACCAATTGGTAGAAATACAAAAATACTAAATATAGATGCAGCTTTTTTTTTTCCCACCACTCTCTCTCTTCATACTTTACTTTCTACAGGATCAACACTCTATATTAAAAAAAAAATTTCGGCCTAAATTTAAACCCACACCTTATGAGATGTGGGCCCTCTATTTGTTAAGCAATATGCTAAAAATGCATTGTAACATATATCTAAAACAAATAAAAATCACATGATAAAAGAAGTTAAAACATATTAACACTACAAACCAGTTTTACCTATTGCTGATGTTTTTTCTAGAGCATTGTTAAAAATATTCAAAATCTGAAAGAAAAGGCATTTATTGCAAAGTTAATTATGCAAAATAAAAAAACATAAAAGCTATCTGTGCAAACAAATTTTTTAATTTTACTAAAAAATAAAATTATTCTTACCTTGATTGGGCCAAACTAAATTTTTTTTAAACCTTTAGCTAATAATCAACATAGTAAAGTTTAAATAATTAAAGTTTACTTAAGTTCAAACAATATTTTAACAGTAGATAAAGTAAAGTTATGATTGTTGGTAGAGCATCAAAGTTGAACTAAAGAAATAAAAATATAAAATAAAAATAAAAATATTTTCAGCTAAACATGAAAAATAACTCTACCATCATGAGATAATAAAGGTAAAATTATAAAAACAAACAACTGCAACAAAAAAAGAATGTTTCTTTTTATTAAAAATAACACCCATTTATTTTTAAATTTGTTTTAATTAAATTTTAAAATTGTTTTCCATACTGACAAGAAAAAAAAATTGCTTTAAGTAAAATTGTTTTAAGTAAAAAATTGCTATAAGTAAAATTTTTTTAAGTAAAAAATTGCTTATAACAAGTTATTTTTTTCCTAAATTTGGAATTCATTTTTTGCAGGGTGCACACGATATAAAAATAACTTCCTCAACAAGCAAAAAAAGTTTTAAGAATATAAAATAAAAATCTTGTTAAAAAATTTTCTTTTCTCATATTTTTAAAAACTTACCAAAAATATTCTTTAGGCTATTTAAAAACTATTTTATATAATTATTTGGTTTTATAAAAAAAGTATTTTTTTCAAGGTAGTTCACAATTCACAACATAATAAAAATAAGAAAAACTTAATTGCACATGTTTGTAAAGTTTAATTTCTGTAAGTTTATAATTAAATGCGATTAAATAATATGAATAAATGATTTAATAAAACATCTAAAAATATATGGAGAGTTATGTCAGTCTTTTAATAAAAACCCACAAAAAAAATTTTTAGCAATTGTTACGTCAGTGATTAAAACTAAAATTATTTTGCAAGCAGCTTATTAAGATTAGTTCGTAACTCGGTTACTTGCATAAATTCAAAAATAATTTTCACTCCATTATCAAACATAATCACAAACAAATATTGTTTTAGTAAACTCATCTATCGAAAGTTCATTCTTTTTTTTTTTTAGTATTTAGTTAATTTTTATATAATGAGCTGATAATTTACATTAAAACTCAACTTTTGCATGAGTCAATTTTCTATTGACAAAGTTAAGTTTTAATGTAAATTATCAGCTCATTGTATAGTTTTCAAATAGTTATTTATATTTTTATTAGGTGTCTAAATATCCAACTAAACAAGACTTTAAAAAATATTTAGATTAAAAAAGCACTTTATGGCTATATTTTTGTTTCTGAAATATACTTTTTCCAACAAAAGTTTAACAATTCTTGCACCACCTATTTGGTATTTCATAGCATTTTATTTTAAAAAACATTTTAAAACAATGCAATTATAATAATGAATAAAATAATTATGAAATTTTTTCAAAGTTGCATCAAGTATAGCAGTCAAAATTAATGCATTTGATGATTAACTTGAAGTTAATTTGATTATTTTATAAAATTATTGAACACTCAATAAAATATTGGAGCTTCAATCAATAAATGGAAAAAAAAACTCATTAAAATTTGAATGCAAGTTTTTTCTAAAACACTTTTTTTAGCTAAACAGTGACTTTGAGCCCAGATTATTTTATTGTGGTCTACTGGGACTAAATAAGGAGGATTGACATCAATATTAACAAAAGTTAAAAGTATTAGCGGACTAATTTTACTTAAATAACTGCAATTAAAAATCATTACTAAATTTAACTGCACTACTGCAATACTGTTAATTCCAATTAAAATAAACACCAGTAAACTCGAACTGTTAAATTTGGTTCCTTGAAATCGTCTAATTCATTACTATTAAAATTCTGCAGTTTAGTCAAACCTAAGATAACTTGAACTAAGTCGAATTATTCTTTAGTCACCTTTTCCGATTAAACTTTTTTAAAGCTATTCCATGTAAAACATAAAAACAGTAACCTAATGTATTTAGATCTGATTATAATAGATCATTATCAGATGTAAAGTAAAACTGTTACAAAAAAAAATAATAATAATAATCATAAAATACTGTTAAAAAAAAATTATTTGATAGTTTTAATAGATTTCTTATCATAAGATACAATTTTATTTCTAAATAATAAGCATAGATGAGTATTTTAAATAGTGCACAATATTAAATTTAAAAAAATATTAAAATAATTAAATAGTGCACAATATTAAATTCAATTTTTTTTTTTTTCTCGGACACCCTTATTTCTATAAATTGGTCAGAATAAGAGCCAGAGCTTGGTGCTCCAGACCGTGTTTATGATGCCTTTGGAGGAAGTAAACAACTATAGGTCATTTTTGGAGGACTTAATAAAACTGAAAATTGTATGAATACAAAAAAAATAAATTTAATTTTATAGCACTTTTATTTAAAGAGATTAGTTAGTCTTAACAAAATTTAGGTTTTTTGAGTTGTGTCCAAGTTAATTTTGATAGTTTCTGAAAATGTATAGTTTACAAGTCAAGTCAAGTCATTATTCTTATGTAATTATGGAACTTATTTTTCTAGCCTTTTTAAACTTTTTTGAACATCTTTAATGCATGTTTATTGTCACTGATTTAATTTTAAAAGATAATTATAGAACATATTTTGTTTAAAAAAAAATTAATTATCTCTATCCTCAGATTATTTTAGATCCTTAAAAGAACGAAGAGTAAGTGGGCCTTTTCTGTTTTTGCAAATGTTAAATGAAAATCAATAACTGATTCAAAACTAAAATTATTATTGTAAATTCCATGTTCATCCTTTTCTAAATCATTGTCCTTTTTTTCTTGGAAATAGGTATGTTTTATCTTTTTTTTTTGTATAACGTGTTACATACACAAAGATGAATTGCATGATTAAATTAAAACTTACCAATGCCTGTTAATTGCATAAGCTTCTTGTTGATTGCTGCATCATCATGAGTAGAACCTATTATTCTTTTTTTAATATAGACGCCAAATGAATTCAAATGATCTATAATATTTTGTCTTATACTTTCAGCTAGACAGAAACCATAAATCCTAATTAGGTTATTTATAGGTTTTCTTATATTCGCTTTCATGCAGAGACACACCAATGTACCTTCTGTTTATCATGCATTAAGCTGAGTTTATGTCTTGTTTGAATTTTTTTGAACTTCTTGTTTCATCACTTTCTTTTTATCAAAAATATTTTGATGGATTAAGTTCATCACAGTTGTTGGGCTTTTAGAAAGATGAATTCTTCTGTTGAATCAATGAGCAAATAAATTTGCTGTTAGTTACTGTGTTAATCAAAACACCATCTGTAGCTAGATCAGCTACAATTTTTTTAAGGCTCTTTTTTTGTAAAACACTGTCCATGTTGTTAATTTTTTTTCCAATGGTGTATTTCAGCTGCTGATTGATTCTCTAGTCGAAAGACTATTGATAGTAATTCCATATCGCAAAATACGACTCCATAAAGTAGTTGTGGGTCCACCAGAACATGTTACAACATAACCGGATCTATTACAGATGCCCTAAACATTTCTTAATCTTTAACTTTTATGCTGGACAATAAATTTCTGAACAGATGACATGATTTATCTAGAAGAAAAATATATTTTCAAAAAATTAAATAATTGATAGAAAAAAATAGAAGATATGATGTATA